TCTTCTAGACAAACGTATATCCTCTTCGCAAAACAGGGACCTAACGCGTTTCAGCCTGGGCGTTTTGAATTAAAAAGAGTCCGTTCTACCACTGCGAAGTTGGCATAATGTCCAGATTTACAAAAGTGTCAAAATTATTACGCCAGGCTACGCCAATCTTTGCGGAACATGAAAAAGGCCTTCTATCGCACAGAGTAGGTGTCTTTTTGCCCACACTTTTCACTTTCACTCAGTTGCTCATGCATAATGGCATTCTAGCCACCTCTTCGCCAGGAGTATTTGTCCTCTCACCCGTGGCCTTGAGGGCAGTTGAAAAATTGAGCTCTTTCATCTCGCACAGAATGACCGATATGGGCGGCCAAAAGTGCCTCTTTCCAACGCTGGGCGTGTCAGACCTCTGGTCGCGTTCAGGTACGTCTCTCCTGTGCGTCATTCTGATGTCTCTTTCCGTCTCTGCAGGTCGATGGCAGCGTTTCGGCAATGAAATGTTTACCCTAAAGGACAGGAATGGCAGCTCCTTTTGCCTCCAGCCCGTAAATACTTAGGTTGTGTTTTGATTTTTACACAGACGCATGAAGACGCACGAAGAAGAGGTTTGCTATTTTGTCCGCAAGTTGGGACTACCGCGCCCCGCGCTGCCTTTGCTCATATTTCAGGTATTTGCAATTTCCGTCACCGCCGACATTTGTAGATTTCCTCAAAATATAGAGATGAACTACGACCCAGACTGGGTCTTTTAAGAAGCAAAGAATTCTTAATGCAAGGTTTGCGCCGTTGATGGGTTCTGATAGCCTTCTCCCCTTTTTTAGATATGTATTCGTTCGATATTGACTCGTCGAGCGCTCTGAACACGTATGAGGTTGTATGTCAGAGTTACTCGGAAATTTTTACCGAACTTGGCCTTCCATTTTGTAAAAGTACGTTTCTGTTTCTTGCATATTTTTACTACATATGTCACCCTGTCGGTTCGGTTTTATATTTTTTAGAATATGCAACTTCAATTCGTTTTGCAGTTTTGAAGTTAATTTAATAAATGCTATGTTGCGTTTGAATTTCTTAAGATTGTCACCGTTCCTGAATCCAGTTGCTTCCTGGAAAACTTCTAAACCGTTGTTATCAAGTACATTGTCGTGATTATATACTTACGACACTAACTAGCAGTATTCCCTGCGCAGATCTGATTTATTCCTTCCTTACAGTCAATTAGTTGAACTTATGTATGTTCATTGGTTGTACCTGAACTTCCGTTTTGTATGCCTAGTTCCCGCTAGTGGAGGTTTGATGGGCGACTGTCCATCGCATGAATTTCAAGTCCCTCTTCCCGAAGGTGAGGATTCCGTACTTTGGTGTCCAAGGTAAGTTGTCTCAGTGGCGATAGGAGTGTTTGAGAATTCGTTTTAAATCGAACCGCCTCAAACAACAGTTAAGATGATTACTAAGGCCACTTTTCTATCCAGCTTAAACAAGATGCGTAATCCACTGGTACAATGTAGATTCGTTTTTCTTCTGTAAATGACGATATAAATGAAGACAAGGGAACCCACATTTGTGTGCTTTTGCCTTTCACCTTAACTTAATAAATTTACTTGCATATTTTAAAAAAAGTACTTTTGTTCCCCTTGGATCTCTTAGCCGTATCACGTTCGATAATCGGTGATTAGCATTGCCAAGTATGCTTTTCATTGAAGGGATTTACAACAATTTCAGTCAATCAGCGTCTTCCGTGCATTTTGAGCAAGTAAAAATGACCCTTATCTCCATGATGGCTTTGGGTATGAATCCGAGTCATCGAACTGATAAAACTCTGGTTCTAGCATATGCATCTATTGTCGCATACTATTTACGCTAACTAAGAAAGTAGTGTTATTTTTCGGCATCCCAATTCGACTGCACTGGTTGCCATAAATTCGTATCATATTAAGACGCTTGTTTACCCATGTGTTCGTAGAGCGTGCGCGGACTGTACGTTCTGTGGTGGGTCTTTATCAATCGACCGTCAAGTGATTGAGATTTTCCCTAATTTTAAACTTGCAAAAATTCCTATCTGAGAATTCAGAAGAGCAGATGGTGAGCCTACGTAAGCTTTCGATAAATTGTCATCGGACCATTACATTTTTATGCGAAGGGGATACAAGTTAAACAAGCGGTCGATAATACTTGTCTTATCGGAGAAATTATTCGTGGGCCAGGGACTTCGGGTAGTTTGGTGGGACCCTATAAATCATCCGAAAAGCCTTCGTTGGGGTCGGGTGATTTATATGGTCCCACCAAACTACCCCTTCAACAAACCCTCACAGCAGTGTAACCAACCGCCTCTTATCGACCCCCAATCTGCCACCCTCCCTTATTCCCACGACTCACTTCTATGATAAGACAAACAGTATTGACCGCTTGTTTTATTTTTATCCTGGTTACATATAAATGTAATGGCCCGATGAGAATGTATCGAAAGCCTACGTATACTCGCCAACTGGTCTTCTGAGTTTTCCCAAATTTCGTTTGTCTCATTTGCAA